ATACATCCATAAACAAACATAATAAGTAATTCATAACGCAGCGGAAAACATTGTTTAAAACAAAAGGGCCACATAGGGCTATACATGAGCACACAGGCTCTATAGTAAAATATCCATGAGCAAATTTATTAATGTTTCAAATAGAATGGAGGAAGCACGAACCAAGTCTTCTCTCCTAGGAATCACTCGATCAACGAGCACATGATGCAAGCTCTAGCCTCAACCTGAAATGGTGGTGGGACGCCCCCGAAGGGGTCAGTACTCTATACGGCTATAGAGTACTGGTGTGGCAGGCATCTAATAGATATACAACAAGTATTTCACACACAAGACCCTTAAATAGGGTGATAATATAGTTTAGGCTGTAATCCCAAATTACCCTTTCAAAATATATACTTACTTTATATAAAGTCAAGTAATCGGCTCAAAGGCCAATGTTTATCACAAAACATTTCCCAAACCCCATGACTAATGGTCACGACATACATAGGGTCCAACCCTAATATAACTTCTCATTTCTAGAGTTCGGCTCGAGTACATCATCATGCACTCGCATCATAGATCTCTTACTTCATGTAATCATATCATAGATCTCCTACTTCATGTATTCACCCCATAGATCTCCTACTTCATACAATCACATCATAGATCTCCTTCTTCTACAATCACACCACAGATCTCCTACTCCATGAAATCACAATTGACACTTGAATCTTATTCAAGTTCATCACAAACAAACTCAACCCTTAAGTTTGATTCTATCGACATTTAGAACAATCCTTAACTAGCATCACAATACTATTAAGATTATTCCTACAACTCATTTATTCTTAATGGTAGCCCCTCCATATCAATAGATATGTGGCAGCCTTCCATGTGCTAAGCATCATCATGCAATTATACATTTACATACACATAACATTAATACATGAGTTGGAAAGGTCAATTTACCATATTAGCATAATCCTATCTCATATGACTCCATATTCATCAATATGTTTTCAATTCATGATCAAGTCCATTACTTATCATTTATATCATGTTCAAGCATCTTTATTCACAAAAAACATGATTTAAGCATTTAGGTAATCTCATGCATAACCTACAAGTTGTAAGCAACTAGATGTCGGTCCTCACCTCAAATGAGCTTTAAAACTTTTCTTCTCAATCCAATGACCAAAGCCTCGGCCAAGGAAGCTTGAGAACTGATTCCTTGCTTAGAAATGAGTGTTAAAAAGCCTCATCAAAGTGCTAGTTCAACCCCTAATCGTTGATACGAAAACAGCCCCTAGAATGGGTGTTTTCCGGCTAACTCGTTTCCTAGTTTTTTCCAAGATTTGCTCTAGGTTAGTATCTAACCTTTACATCAATAAAATAACTTTATAAGGACATATTATACACTTGGAGTAGTGTATAATAGTTCCACCAATCGTTCATATCATTTGGAAAATGAAATGAAAGGTTTTGGGGTTAAAACTCACTTTAGAGGATTAAATCTGCTCCTGCGAGGTTGTGTTTTGCTCGGACGATTTGGAAGCCTTCCACTACTCCTATTGATGCAAACCAGACCTTCACGGATTTCTCGTCTTGAGAGATTTCTTGTGGTATCTCGCACTCCTTATTTGGATTGGTATAACTCGAGATATCAACCAAACAGCCTCAGCAATCTCACTGCTCGAGTTTGCAGACAGCAGTTCACTCCAGGTCGATTTCTGTATGGTAATCTCTCCCCTCTCGCACAGAGACCACTCAAATGTTAAACTAAACTTCAAAGGCTATCCAAGGACACCTCACTCACGTTTTTTGGTCGAGTATAACTCCCATAATGAGTGGAGACAAACAACACACCATTTTGTGCGAAAATAGAGATGGTGGCCCAAACTTTGATTCCTATCAAGTCTTGTGCAGCCCCTCTCCATTCTGGCCGGCCAAGGTAAGTCCTCTCACCCATTTTTATTTGTATTGCAGGTACTAATATCATGTGGAGTGGTTTCCAATTGATCCCAATTATTTTGGGGTCCAAAATATCTACCAATCCTTCCAAAAATGGGAAGATGAGTCCTATTGTTTTATCTCTTGTCAAAGTTGTCTTTTTGTACTCATCCTAATTTATTTAGAACAAGTCAACTTCCTACATCACATTATTGCTTCCCAATATGTGTAGGCTCATCTCAATAATTTACTTGATGGATATTATAGAAGGGAAAATCCTACTCCCATTATTTAGCTCAATAATGTCAAAGATGGGGCCATAGGCATTTGTATTTTTCTCTAATCATTCTATCACTTATTTTGACATTGTCGTTCATATTATTGGGCTACAAGTCGTGTGGGTCACCCCCGAGTGGGTCTAGGACGTCATTTTCGAATATTTGCTATTTTTAGCAGGTTAGGCCCCAAATAACGTCTAGGCCGCCCGACCTTCCTCAACTTGTCTTGAAAGGTCCAGTTATTTGGGTACGTTGCTCTCTTATATTCATTAATAAGGCCCAGTTAAGTATTTGCAAACCCGACACTAATATACGAGTTTGAACAGTACAATAATCAATCATGCGATACGTAAAACATAAATGGTTTTACAATCGTTTGGTAAACTGGAAATTCAAGGACGTTCGGGAGCGGTGTCACGACACCTACCAGTTATAAGGTATAATACGCTCGTATGTTCTGTAACAAATGGATGTTCCTTTCATCATTATCGTATAATAAATCAAGTGGGGTTTGATGAAGCCTTTTCATCGGTGAAACTTTCATTTTACATTGGACACAACACAAATAGTACTTTGGATGGTTTGATTTAGAGCACGAGCTTAACATTTCATCGTACCAAAAAGCAGCTCCACAGTGTTGACACTAGGGGTGGGCACGGGCCGGGGATGGTTCAGGATTAGGGTTATCCCGGGCTCAACCCAATTAGTAATAACAATACGGGACGGTTCGAGACAAACCATTGTCTTAGTCTTGTCCCATTTAAATTGGGACCGGGGTGATTCGGAACGGTTCGGGGCGTCCCAAACTAACAAAAGAGTATTATACAAAAAATCATTTATAGTATATAGTTAAAATATATTAGCATTTCTAAAGTATCGTGCACTAAGATATTAACATTTTAAAAGTCAACTGATGTTCACAACAAACTATCTATTTACAAAAATCTAAAAGCTATTAGAATTTAATTAGGTTTAGCAAAAATTGAAATTAAAAGTTAATACAAAGCAAACAATGTATTGATTATTTATTGTATTAATTATTTATTCAAAATTATGTATTCTAGTTGCGAGATACTCAAATGCAAATATATAGAGTGAGATAAAATATAAGTTAGTAAATATTTATGTTAGGTATTGTTTTTAATTTAAAAGTTGGGCTTGAAAAACTAAAAACATACTATCATTTGTGTCTTGAGTCGGCACTACAAACTAATCACATGCTAAAAACTATATAGTCAATACAAATGGGACAACATGATAGTTCGAAATAACCTTCTAATGTCCCGATCATGTTCCGTTTTAAACGGATACGGGAATGATTCGGGACAAAAAGAACGGGACAACACCGGTATGGTTTCGGGATATATCACGATGGGACAATGGGACCAAGATTCTTGCCCACCCCAAGTTGACACTTGTAAGATGGATGTCCCATCTCGAAATATGAAATGTATAAACAATGTCATATTGTTGTGAAAAGCAATCAAAATTTTGAAAATATATATATATTACATGAGGCATGTAAGTCTCATTAAAATGAGAAAAATGTCACCTGAAATAGTAGTGCTAGGAGAAGTGAAAGAGAGACGTTCATTGGCTTGTGAGTTAATAACATCTATAACTCTTTATTGTATAACCATATTCATAACATTTATAAGAATCATAACGTGGTAAGAAGGTATTACTGAAAGGCGTTTTGTGTTACAAATATTGGGCAATTGAATATAATTTTCTTGCCGATTAAATGATACAAACAATCCCAACTCATATCACATGAAATTTTAATATTAATATTGAAAGTATGTGTAATATACCACTATTAATATCATTTGGAAGTATGCAACACAATATTGATCAGTATTCACAATCAATTGCGCACATGGTAACAGAGCCATAATTAAGTGTTTTTCCAGCCTTGCATGCTTTTCTTTCACATGTTCCGATTGTTTAACATAACATTGAAATTCAATTAGAGAACTTTTTGAATTCAAATAAATGAATACTTAGGATATATCATTTTCTGGTAAACAACACTTAATACTTAATATATAAGTAATAATTATAATGAATACTAAAATTTAAATTTAATAAAATATGATATATATAAAATAAATTGTGACTAAAATAATCTGTAAGATTTCTTTGAATATTTCAATGGTTATTGATGTGAGCCAATTATACATGTCGGTTAAATTTTAGATTAGTTTATGAGAACTAAAACATACTAGTATTAGTTTTAACATTTTATTAGTATCATTCACATTAACTTTCCAGCTTAATGCTATTAAGAGTAATAATAACAAATATTTTCAACTTATCAATCTTACCGACCATTTTGATTTATTAAACACATAATTTTTGATTTCGTGAGCATTAAGTTGCTTTTGTGATTGCATTGACTTAAATTACCCTAAAGACCATTGTAGCTATTTTTTAATAATATTTTTCTTTATTTATCATTAAAAATATTTAAATATCATATTTCCGCAATTTAGCAAATCAGTGAAATTGGCGGTCCCATCAACTAGAAATTCATCAGTTTCAATAGATTCAGCTCATTTAACCGATTTCAATATTCTCAAATGGATACTAAATAATACTCCATTCGTCCCTTAAAACTTGGCTAATTTTGGGCGACACCAGGGATAATAAAATTGGCCACATCAGTGGAACAATAAAAAAGAAAAAGTCCACAAATCTGGAACAGTAAAATCTGTCAAAATAAATGATTTAAAGTTATTGGCCCAAACTGTTTGATCCGGCCCAATCAGAAAACCACATGCCCAATTCTGGAATAACCCTAAGCCCTCACCCTACTTCCGCTTGTATTTATGCCGTTTCTCTATCTACGCTCTCTCCGTTTCCAGCTCCTCTTCCTCTTAGGTCGGACGCAGTTCACACCCCGCCGCTCGTCTAATATCCCGAGGTTAGTCGTCGATGTCAGGCGGGAACAGTTATCCCAGGCGGTCCGGCTTTTTTATACATAGAGATTCGTTAAATCTTCTAAACCTGAGTTCCACTGTATTTCCTTGCAATGATTCTGTGTGCGATGTAAATTTAATCAATATCTGGTGCAGGTAATGGCTCCGAAGCAGCCGAGTAGTGGCCTAATTGTGGGTCTTAACAAAGGCCATGTGGTGACACCGAAGGAACTTGCTCCTCGCCCTTCTGACAGAAAAGGCGTAAGCTTTTTTTTATACGCATTTTCCAGATTTATTGCTCGTTTTTATGTGTCTTTTGCTTTATCACCTTCCATGCTAGTGTATATAATAAACATTTGATAGATAATTTAATGCGCACCAAAAATATTTTAACCCCGCACCGATATCAATTCAGCATGAACTATATGTTAGATAACAAATATACCCTAAACTTTCAATTGGAACAATTAAACACAAAAATTTAACTCAAACTGTGTTGGTTGAACAAATATACCCTTATATCTAAAGTGGTTAAGGAAGCATATATTATACGAAGTAATATATATAGTGAAGTCCTTTTTTGTCCTACACAATTCAGTTTTTTAAAGAATAATACTTTATTCAGTATTTGTTTTCAATATTTGTTTGTTGGGTATTGTGGTGTTTTATTACCTTTGAGCTGTACGGTGATTTAGTTTGCAACTCGGAGATGTTTTTAGAATACCAACTTTTCTAGTTTTGTTTTGCAGTATAGTACTTTTTATGCTATCAAACAAACTTTTGTAAGAATCAGTCCCAATTTAGAGTTTAGTAGTTTTGTTTTGAGAGAAGGAACTAATATTTCCATGAATTTTATGTGTAAGAGCAATATGTATACCCTTCAAATTAGAACAAATATGCTATTGAAATATGTATTAGAGTCCATATACGTGACACTTCACTATATATGATACTCCGTATAATATATGTATCTCTTAATCCCTTTAGACATAAGGGTATCTCTGTTCAACCAACACAGTTTTTGAGTTAAATTTTTGTGTTTAATTGTTCTAATTGAAAGTTTAGGGTATACTCGCATTTGTTTTCCTTGCTTTGTTCAACTGTGTGTTATCTTTCTATATTTCATGTAATAACACATTGCATCTTTGCATAAAATCCACACTGTATTATGTGATAGTAATATTTCTGAAGATGACTTTGTCTGTATTGACATTCTTATTGTGATACAGAAAACAAGTAAAAGGGTACATTTCGTGAGGAACCTTATCAGGGAGGTTGCTGGGTTTGCACCATATGAGAAAAGGATTACTGAGCTTCTCAAAGTTGGCAAGGACAAGAGAGCTCTTAAGGTAGCCAAGAGAAAGTTGGGCACTCACAAGAGGGCCAAGCGAAAGAGAGAGGAGATGTCCAGTGTCCTCCGTAAAATGAGGTAACCTTATTTCATTATGAATGCCATTTATTTAGGTGTTAGATAGTTCTAAACTGTTTAAGCTTGTCAATTGTTGGATGTTTTTGCAAGGGGAGGGGAACAGGGTTTGTTTTAGGGGTAGTGATAGAAGAGCTAAATAACTAATAACAATTTATTTCCCCAGTTTGACTTTTCTATATTCTTCCAAATTAATTATTCCTGAACCACACTGTTTTCTAGCCACATTTAGCTTCTTGCTCCTTGTCTATTTTTTCATCCTCCTTCCCCCCCCCCTTGGTTAAATTTCTGTTAGTTTGATTTTGGATACCGTTTTTTGTATGTATAGGGCTGGTGGAGGTGGTGAAAAGAAGAAGTGAGATCCTTGCCTTCGAGCCATCTTTTCAAGAATTTGCCAGTTTTCTCTGTTTTTACTTTTTAGTGACTATGTTGTCTAGTGGAATTTTTGTTTTGTTGTTTGATCAACAACTGGTGTGGATTTAAAGACTTCTTATATGTTCCTTTATATTGCCTAATTGCCTTCAGATTCTTTTACTTGTTGACTAGATTTGACATCTAAGCTTGCGATCAAATTGAAGCATGCAATTATAATTTTATTTCGATCGCATGAAATAAAACGTTAAGATTTGTCATTTGTATATCTTGAAAGAGAAAAATGCTGCATGTAAAAAACAAATGATTTAATTGGTACTATCCAGTTTGTAATCATTTTTCACATTTTAGATAAGACAGAGTAATATATAATTGGAGTAGCATTAAAGTAGGTAAATAAATTGTTGGCATTAGGCTCTTTCGTTGCTCTTCACACCTTTTGGTCAATTGGAGAAGTAATCTTCGCGAGTAAAACAATTAGAATGCTCAAAATCACATAAATAAATCCCAAGAGGTAAGGTGTAACGCATTACACCCAAGAGGATTACTTAACTAATTTTCACCTGGACTATAGTAAACTCAGTATTTTTTTTCAACCCACAAGTCCTAGTGTCCTACACTAGAGATTAGGGATGGACTCGGGCCGGGCGGCCTGACCCGAAACCGGCCCGGCCCGGTCACTGTTTGAACCAGCCTGGCTTGGCGGCCCGGCCCATGGGCGGTTCGGGTCGACCCAGCCTGGTGGCTACCGGTTCCGGGCCCGGGCCTTCATTATGGTGAACCGGCCCGGCCGGTCCGGGCCTGGTCCGGGCCGGATTTAATTTTTTTTTTTTGGATTTTTTTTTTAGTTTTTGGGTTGGATTGGTTATTTTGGGTCATTTGAGGTGGTTTGGGGGTGGTTTGGGGTTGAGGGGGAGGGTAGGGGGTTGATTAGGAAAACCCAAAAAAAAATTATATAGAACCGGGCCCGACCCGGCCCGAACCGGACCCGGGGTTACCCGGGCCGGTTCCGGGCCTCCCCTACCTTGAACCGAGGCCCGGTCGGTTCAAGGCCCGAACCGGGCCTGGCCCAGAACCGGTCCACCACTACTAGAGATAAGCTACTATTTTTTAAAAATAATAACACCTTAGGCTACAGAGTACAAGATGGAGAAGATATTATTTGTCCAGATTTCATCCGATTTGGTATTGGTATGAAACCGGTTCAGTGAAAAGAGGTATCCAAATTATTAGTCAAAGATTATACTACATCCGGTCTCTTTTAATTGCAACATTATACTTTTTGCCTTATTGACATACTAAAAATATTGTTAAATTCTTTTCACTTTAAAATTTCCAAAATAAAAAAATTTTCGATTTTTTTTAATAAGGAATTGAAAGATATGAATGATCAAACTTGTGCGTTGTCAAACGTGAAAAGTACATACCTAATACTACCTCCGTCCCCCTAAATTTGGGATAAAAGGGTGTTATGTGGTTTTTTTTTTTAAAAAGTAGAATTGTGTGTTTGATATTGAATTGATATAGTATGAATAAAGTAAGAACAAATTGTGATCACTCAAATATTACAAAATATGGTATGAGATAAACTAAATGGGACAAACGAAAAAGGTAAAATTAGGATTGGATTTGGGCCGGGTCGGGCCTAGGCCCGGCGGGCTTTCTGGGATTTGGGGTTGGGCCCGAGACCGGCCCGGGTATCCACCGGGTCCGGTCCGGTCTGGGCCTCGGGCCTCTATATATATTTTTTTGTTTTTTGCCTTTTCTAATTAACCCCGACCCGCCCCCCTAACACCCACCCCCAAACCAGCCCAAATGGCCCAAAATACCCAGCCCAACCCGGAAAGTAAAAAAGAATTAAAAAAATGGAATTAAGCCTGAACCGGGCCCAGAACCGGCCGAGCCGATTCCAGTTTCTCCATACCCGTACCCGGCCCGCTACCCTCCCTAAACCGGGCCAATGACCCGGAACCAGTACCCGATCCCTGGGCCAGGCCGGACCCGCACAGTACCGTGTCGGGCCGGTTCCCAAACCGGGTGACCTAAACCGGATCCATCACTAGATAAAATGGGTTAGCGTTAGGGGGACAGAGGGAGTATAATATTGTTTTGCTCTCCTTAATTGGAGAACATTGTTTTGCTCTCACAATACCACATTACCACGCTTCATTCACCCAATTCAATCATTTTCTAAATACTTTTAACTTTTTATTTGGAACATGCAAAAAAATATCAGATTATTTTTTAAAATATTTTCAAAAGCAATATTGCACGTCGTATCTCAAAAGGCCTCATTTAAAAAACTATATTAAATACGGAGTAACTTAAAGAATTGAATAACCTTATCTTTATTTTAGGGTTTGGTATGAAAGAACATCAAATAAATTTATTTTTTCATTAAAAAGCCTATGACATTATTCCTATAATTTTTTCATATATTAAATTAAAAGAGGAATGATCCTGTTAGGACAGCCTGATTTGAGCTTCTTTGGGGAGGATTTATTTGATGAAATTTTATGATATGTTCTTCATGAAATGTAGATTATGTCCGCTAAATTTTATTTAAAATTCAATCGAAATGTCAGTTAAATAAATTATTGGAAAACACTGCCTTTTTATATTTTGGCGCGGTGTTTTTCAATAATTTATTTAACTAACTTCTCGATTGAATTTAAGGTGAAATTTAGTGGTTACAATATACACTTCATAAACAACATGTTCACAAAATATAATAAAAAAGCCACCACTATCAAGCCACCACTAAGTTTATAATCCTACAAAATTTGCATATCAAGTTATCAACCTACCATGTAAATATAGACTGAAATTAAAAAGTAAGCACATTCTAGGGATCAATGTTCCATAAGTTGTAACTTATGATGAGACATTTCTTGAACTGAAATCCCATGAGGAATCGGATAGTCAGCGTTGGAGACTATTAGGGAAAACAAAAGATGATAAGTTGATGGTAAGCAGTTGCATTTTGTATTTGAATTTTGAAGTCTCGAAAATAAAGTTGTGACCTCTGAAATTTACTTAAAAACAAATCTATAATTTTCCTATGAACAAATTACCTAGGGAAGGGATGACTGGATGAGAAATACCAACTAAGGCTACAAGAAGATAAGCTCTATCCAGAAGTATTAAATCCCAAAAAGGAAACGAAATCCTCATGCCTCAGTAAAATGGGTTTTCTCATTCATATTTGGAGCTGAGCCTTCCCACAGCTCTGCTAGCTCCTTCCTCATCCAGGAAATCACAATAATTGGTCCCAGGGTAGATGGCACCTGTAGTTCTCAAACATAGATTAGTCAAACAAAGACTTTCTGGAATGCCAAATTTTAGTAGAGATATAATTGGAGTTAAAAGAAGCATTTAAAATAACTCATGTTCTAAAAAAAGGACACATACTAAGGAGCTTTTAAGAATACGCCTCATAAATAAGTTTGCAGCACATGTTTTTTATATTTTCCAATACCCAATTTCTCGTTAAAATCACCTTTGAAACCCGTTAGCTAGGGTAAATGAATTTGATTGAAATGACCAAAGTTCCTGATCAAATATTTGAAAACAGTTTTATCGGTAAAGAAAATGGTCATTTTTAGCAACCCAATCAAAAAGTACTCCCAATCTACTTTTTTTTTGAAGGACCCAACCTACTTTTTATTATTAACTAATTCAGCTATCAGCGTGTTCAGTAAAAATACAGCTGATTAGCAAAAATAAAAGTGGCTACCAAACAGCCACTCAGACTCCATTTGGAAGCCTTTTCTGTCTTACTATCTTATCTGGAGAATAAAGTTTTTGACTTGCCTATTTCTCAGAAATGGATATTACTGAATACTTTTACTTTCAGAAGGTATAATAGCTTTAGCCATTTCAGTAAAAGAAAGCAAGAAACCTTACCAAATGAGCCCTTAACATAATAGAAGTTAACGTATAGAAGATTAACTGAGGATAAATGTATTTATTTCTAAAATGACATTTATTATGGTGAGAGAGTACTACTTAACAAATCAAGCTTTACAATACTGCAAATCCTTAACATACCAAGTATAGAAGAGCTGGTTGAGGAGATTGCGTCAAGATGCCAGCAGCCAAGGCAGTAATAAGTCCAATTGAATACCCAGTCAGAGCATACCATATGTACTTAAACCCCTTTGAAGATGATCCATCCAAGGTATTCCAAGACTCCCTACCCTTTCTGTGGTCATAGCAAAGCACCAATGCTAAAAGCATTGAGGGAATTGCCTGAAGAACCAGTAGCAGGCAAAACTCTACTTTTAGTGACCATGGTATGAAATGTGGGGGGTTTATTACAGTGACGAAATGAAGCATAGTGAATATCCGCCAGTTGTATATGCAAATCTTACAAGGCACCAGTCAATATCAAAGAAACACAACAGAAACTATTCACAGCCAAATTATGCCTGTATACAAGTAGAACTCTTTTCCCATGTTAGTTAATGTCCAATTGTACCTCTGCAACTCTGCTATATGCTATTACTCAATTTGGTCATAACCTTTCTTCTGGGCTCAATTCAGTCCTTGACTATGTGGTTTAACTTGGTCTTCAAACGTATTCTAATATGCTTATCAATGGTACTTTCATCAGCAGAGAACAAAATTGGGTCCAAAAAATTACAGACGGAACAGTCAAGGAGATTGCATCAAATTGAGTGAATCAACAGAAACAAACTTCTTTTTAGAACCAAATGTGTGTGACTATTACAGTCAACATGCATATCTGGGGACAAAATAGTATCACAGAAACAATGGAAGACCAAATTGAGTAACATTTCAAAATGAGGGGCTAAAGAGGTATGAAGACAATGACATGTCTTAACATGTTTCTGGTGTCAAAACTTTACTTATTTACTATTTCACCATATGAGAAGAATCTATACTCGTGTCCACAAGAAAAAACAGAATTATGTATGGGAAGCTAATGCTGTATGTTTCAAAAACTGGAAATTCAAAAGGAATCTAGGGCTCCAGTGGTTTCTATGAAAATATAGAAAACGGTTTCTGGATTTTCCAGTGTTTGGCATAGTAAAATTTCAGAAAATTCTTGTAGTGCTTAGCGTGGGATTTTTTAATCTTTTGGGTAATATGCTTTGATTGATTTTCTATCTTGAAAGGGGAAACCTTTAAATGGAAACATTTTATGTTTCTATTTTGGGATTAAAAACTGTACTATGGAGAACCTAAAACAACTAATTTCAAGGATGACATTTTCCAGTAATATACTCCCGTAATTATTAGCTGCTCCAATAGGTTTTTCAGAGACTAAGAAGAAAATAGCAAGAACGGTGAATAACATAAAAGAATGTAAAAAGTAGGAAAGAAGATTGAAAGAGTAAGGTAAA